GGAAAGACCCTCTCTACATTAAAATCAGCATGGCCACACCCTCGGGTGATGTAGCGCGAGAGTCTCCACGCGCCTATGTAATGAAATGCCGACGGAGGAGGAGAACAGGAGGGGAGAAGGGCGGGAGAAGAGAATGATAGGTGCCCACCGTGGTGCTGGATTCGTGCTTGTGTATTCCGAGTCAACCATGGCGCAAATCAGATTACTGGTATTTTACACTGATATTCCGGCCATAAGGACATTGAGGCATACTGTTCCTCGGCATTTTAATCTCTGCGGTATGTACGCGCTGCGCCGCGTTTAAGACAAAGGTCAGGTTTCATTTCAGGAAGGTTCTATACTACAGAACTAGTTCTCACGTCAGAACTAGAGACTATGAACCTGGATCTAACCAGAACTGGATCAAGAATTAAAACTAAGTAACTGGGTCTAAACTAAATTGGGAAAACATGTAGAACTACTAGAACTACAAATAGAATGCCCATAGCATGTTGTTCAAACGATTAAATATTTTCTAATAAACCGCCTGACAAAATGTTCGTTGTGCCTATTTTGATTAGTTAATAGTAGAAGATAAAGATAGATTTTAGTGTGATAGATTCACTTTTAGTCGTGGATTTCGTTATCTGGTGGGCTGCGGCTGAGCCCTTGACTTGGCCCTAATGAATTTCGTTCATTCTGAATAAATATTTAGCATTTACTGTTGCGAAGGCTTGGCTTGGCTCAAGGCCATAGGCCTTTGACCTGCTTTCCTCTCTTAAAAGTTGTACCTAAGTGGCCTTGAGGCTCGAGGCCAATGACGTCTTGAGGCCACTTTTCTATGTTCAAGATTTTACAAAATTCATGTCAATGTGCCATGCCTTGGGCTCAAGGCCACTCCGCTGACCACTTTCAATATTTGACATTACCCGTCCAGATCATTTGCAAGAGCATAGATTAATGTATGTTATACATTTCACCTACCACTCCTAGAAAAGTATTTAATTGGGCGGAGAATTCGAACCCAAAGAACATGACTGGCCAGACACACGCTACGTGCGCGCCAATCATTAGCTTGTCCTCGTATGTTCAGCCTGCCGGTCTATGAGTTACATTTGGGCTTAAAACGACAGTAGAAATAATTTACTATAGAATGGACCAGGATTTGAACTCGTGACATTGACTCACAGTAAAAATCACAAATCAGCAGCGCTAATAGTACGCATGTACGCCAAACTTCCGGCAATCCTATTTGGTTCAACTGCGATGTTTATTGCATGTTTGTGTGGAGTGTGGCGCCGTTGTGTGTATTATGGTGTGCGTGCCTGCGTGCTGCGTGCGTGCGTGTTGTTTTCGGTAATAACAAGAACAATTAAACAGACAAGATCTCATTACCGATCAGAGATTTCAATGCGTAAAGTTTCAATTATAAAGAAATATGTAATATAATTTTAAAAAAAAAAAATTAAAAGACGTGAACTCACGCGTACCGACTCCCGTACTTCCCCTGGGCAGCCAGAAATGCCTACGAACGACGATTGCTTCTCCATTCAGGCAGTGAATAAATCGATAGTTATAAATAATCGCATAATAATCAATAATCTATTTATTATTCACGTCCTGATCTATCCGTTAGCTGCCGCCAAGCTCTGGGGCGGCAACTGTCCGTCCTCCAACTCACCTCACTCCACCTGCGGCCCCTACAACACACCGGGACAACACACCACATCACACAGCACACACGCACGTCAGGCACGCGACGCACGCACGGCACGCACACACAACATACACACAACGCGCCGCGGCACGACACACAACACACACAACGCACACACGGCACTACAAACGGCGACGCGACGCACGCAGCGGTACGCGCGCCTAGAGAGCGCACGGCACGACGCACAAGACACACAACATACACACACGCACGGGCACGCGACAGACGGACGGTGGAGAGGGGGGGTGCGGGGGGGTGTGTGGCACGCATACCACGGCACCACACACACACACATGCGCGCAAGCTACAGGCACGCCATAAGTGAGCGAACAAGACACCACGCACCGGAATAACAACCGCGAAATTTTATATCGTAAATATACTACAGTTGTTTTGATACGCATAAAAACAAGACTGTCCTTTTGCGTATATGGATTACATTGCAGTCAATGACGAACCGCGTGTAGTCGGTAACAGCGACATGTGCCGCATGTCGTAAATATAGATTACTGGCATAGAAGCCAAGATATAAACTATAAACTGGACATGGAGCTTCCTTTAGCTCTCCACAATTACTGGAAATTGCACGTTTATGGTTCAAACATTAAAATAATTTAATGCAACAAATGAAATCAATCTGATACACAATCAATTAACATAGCGTGCCTCTACAAGAAAATTTACAATTTCAGGGCACCTACTCCTATACGTGCATGAGTATGGTTTGAAGAATTAACGCATACTGCAGTGAATGTGCTTTTATATATATGTTGAAGCTTGAATTCATTAATTCATGGGCACTAGCAGCTGAACAGTGGATGGAGGGCAGAATGCACACTATCGACATATAACGATTGGGATCATACGAACTAATATTTGAGAACTATAATGAGTTTGACCAACCCTATACCTCAAATATGCCTGACACTCCTTCATTAACGTTGCTTTAAAATGATTTTGAATTCTTAATATCGCTCTTCATTTCTTACACAAACACATCTGCTGCAAATCGCTTTCCGGTATGTACATTTAGGCTGGCAAGGAAAGGGTTGCGTTTCCAGCGGATGTGGGGGTGGGTGCGACACGAAAGAATCGCCTCGCACATCGCTTCTGAGGGCCTCTCCTCCGACACGAACCTTGCTCGCCTTCGGTAAGTCAGCATTCGGTGGTTGGGGGCTTTGTCCGGGTTTTTGGGGGGCGCTTCGTCGACCTTCCGGGGTGGGTGCAGAGGCGGACTGGCGTCTGCGCAGGGCGCGCGGTCGATGTGCGCAGCCCATGCGTCTGCTATCAGGCCGGCGGCGGGTGGTGCATGTGGCTGATGGAAGCGCTTGGGGGAGTAGTCGTGTGTGCCTGGGCGGCGGGGCGGGGCTTATTTCGGTGTTGACGCGGGTTGCGGATGGTCTGGTTGTAGCGTTGTTGGGATCTTCGTGAGCGCGTGTGCTTTGGTGGAGGCTCTGTCACTATTGGAGTCTCGGTGGACCGTGTGGAGTCGTGGCACCTTGGAGCTCGTCGACCTTGGCCGCGTCGTACTCGATCGCAGGCGCTCAGACATCTCTTTCCTGCGTGCAGAAGGAATTGCACCAGCACGGCCGCCGCCATCGCTTGTACTCGCTGCGCTTCTCCCCGGCTGCACGGCGGCTTCCGACGACGCCGATGCCCTCGCTGACGGCTTCCTCCTGCAACGGCGGGCTCTGACGACCCGATGCCCTCGCTGGCCGCTTCCACCGGCTGCGCGGCGGCTCAGACGACCCCATGCCCTCTCTGACCGCGTGGCGTTGCGCCGCCCTCAGGACGAGCTCGGCACGCGTAGTTGGCGCGCTGTCGCCGCCGTCGTAGCGATACGATCGGTTGTGTCGAATCGAAGAACTGTCTGAAAAGCGACGATCGAGGAAAGTCAGTGATGAAGCCCGAGTGTAGAGGCGTGTGAAAGTATAGTAACGAGTGTAAAGGCGTGTGGAAAGATAGGTAACATGTAGAAGGCACGTGAAAGTATAAGTAACGAGTGTAGAGGCGTGTGAAGTATAGAACGATGTAGAGGCAGCGTAGAAGTATCGTAACGAGTGTAGAGGCACGTGCAAGTATAGTAATCGAGTGTACGGAAGCAGCGTCGAAAGTATAGTAAGCAGTGTAGAGGCACGTGAAAGTATAGTAACGAGTGTAGAGGCACGTGAAAGTATAGTAACGAGTGTAGAGGCACGTGAAAGTATAGTAACGAGTGTAGAGGCACGTGAAAGTATAGTAACGAGTGTAGAGGCACGTGAAAGTTTATAACCGAGTGTAGAGCACGTGAAAAGTAGTAGTAACGAGTGTAGATCACGTGAAATATAGTAAGCTACGTGTAGAGCGCACGTGAAAGTATAGTAACGAGTGTAGAGGCACGTGAAAGTATAGTAACGAGTGTAGAGGCACGTGAAAGTATAGTAACGAGTGTAGAGGGTGTGTTAAGGGCGACCAAAGAATTAAGTGAAGAGGTATATATGTAGAGTGCACGATAAACGCGAAAGTGAACGCATAAGTGAATAAGTACATGAAAGTGAAAGTGAATGATAAATGTGAAATTTAATGCGAATGGGCAACATAAGGCAACGGTAGAAAGGGAAGAAAACAGCCGAGAATTGAAGGAAATCCGAGAGTTAAAGTGAAAGTGGTAGCGGGAAGTAATTATCAGCCGAATGGCGCAGAATAAAGTGAAAAGCGAAGTGCAGCAATGGGACATAGTGACCTGTGGCACACAAGATACATGACGGAGCAAATACCCACGTGCTGTGTACAATAATTTTTAGCATCCTTGTTTTATTATTGTTTTATAATTCTGCATGTTTTGCTGTTTAAAATGGGGTGGAAATTACGCATTTAATAAGGTCTACAATTTAAATTACACCCTTTTAAAGTATGCACGTCTGCATCAAACAAGAGTAAATTCTTTACGAGCTACAGATTTTGCCCCACATTTTGAGTAGGCCCTGAACTAAAACACCTGCTCTTGCTGCTCAATGGGTTACTAAACCAATATTTCCCACCAACACATCAGCAGTAGAAGACAGAAATATTCCTGCACTTGGTTCGTGAGACGACCGACGTCTTGTAAACATTTCATATCTGACATTTGACGGTTATCTTTATTTGTGCAATGATGACCCCTTTTCTCACTGTAAGCCTTCTTCTACCTTGCATCCCAATTATCAGTACATCAATATGTATATCATAATCACGATCTACTTCTGTGTACTGTGAGTGAGTGAAATTCCCTATAGAGGATTGTAGCACTATTATGCGTAATTCATTGGTAGGATTCCATACTCAGGAGCAGTTGCCTAAATGTTAGTATTCCAAACTTTAGGCTGGAATGGATTTGAGGCCTAACACAGCCACTGCTGCTTTTGTACCTTTGAGCAAAGCACTTTACTCCAGTTTGCATCCCTTGGTGCCAGCAATAGAAACTGGTCGTTCATAGCTAGTTTTGGAGGTTGATGAAAACTAATAACCCTACGCCATTACACATCCTGCATTAAAAAGAAATTCAAGAAATGCAGTTATCGAGATGCTACATCTAACCAGAAGCTGCAAGGAAGGAGGAAAACTCACGTCTATCCCTGTTCAGTCTCTCTCTGGTTGCAGACCTCCTCAGTTCAAATGACGATGCCTCAAAGCCAATCCTGGTAACTACCTGCTGTGACTCTCGTTGCCATAGAAACTGGTACCATGACAACAGGGCTATCATCGATAGGAAGGTCATGTTGAAGCTTATGCCAAACACAGCCGAGAAGATGGGGTAGTTAAATAGTATGTACCTAGGAACAGAAAACACATGCCGAGTTAGTATGAAACAAGATACGTACATGGGCAATGAGAACATCTCATGTGGACATTCTAAATAGGTAAACACAGAAGTAGAAGGTTGCCAACTATTTGGTGCAAGAACATTAAACGCTTAACATTCATTCATGAATCTACATGATATATTTACAAATGTAACACATAGGCATGAAAATAAATAGATACAGAGTATTAGATAAATACCTGACTCCCGTAAAGTAAGCGTGGACAACCAGCACTGCCGAGTAAATGTGGATGTGCTTTGACTGCACCTCAATGTAAGCTCCATGTGCTGGTTTATACTGAAAATGATTACCAAATGCGAATGACAATTTCCGCTGCAATTACTAAACCTCGTGCAGAAGATACATTTGTGATATTTGTGAGAAACTAAATATTGAATATAAACTTATGCAAATCGTTCTCATTATGTCACGTCTAGATCATTCCAAGCCTGAGGTCTTCTATCACACGTACCATAATACCAGAACTGATATTGTTACCATAATTTGAAGTGAATTTGTTCCTTCGTTTGTTTACAACAGCTAAAGCGTTTTGAATCAGTTGCCAAAGAACCAAGTATGTAGCCATGAAGCCCAGAAAAGTCAACCTATGTTATATTTATTTGAAGACTCGCCTGTTTGTACATGTCATATTGTTCTACATAAGACATAAGATGCGGCGTATAGAACACGTTTTTTTTATACATCACATACATTATCATACACTTCCTACAAGATACATGTGGGAGATACAGGATGATAAGACATATGCTATGATAATGAGGTATAAACAATGAGGATATGGGGTGGGGGTACGGGACGGGGGATACAGGATGGGGTACAGGATGGTGTGCAGGATGGAGATACGAGACGGGGATACAGAATGGGGGTACGGGATAAGAGATATGTATGGGGTATACAGGATGGGGTATAACGGATAGAGAAATACTAGATGGAGAGATTCATAGGCAGTAATAGGGCGGCAATCGGCCCACGGAATACAGGATGCGGGACACAAGATGGGGTATAAAGGATAAGGAATACAGGCTGGGGTATAAACGATAAGGGATACAGGATGGAGTATAAAGAATAAGGAATACAGGATGGGGTATAAAGGATAAGGGATACAGGATGAGGTATAAAGGATAAGGAATACAGGATGGGGTATAAAGGATAAGGGATACAGGATGGGGTATAAACGATAAGGGATACAGGATGGGGTATAAAGGATAAGGGATACAGGATGGGGTATAAAGGATAAGGGATACAGGATGGGGTATAAAGGATAAGGGCCTTTATACCCCATCCTGTATCCCTTATCCTTTATACCTCATCCTGTATGTGTGCGTGCGTGCGTGCGTGTGCACGTACACGTGCGGGCGTGCGTGCGGGCGTATGTACGTACATGTGCGTGCGTGCGTGTGTACGTGCGTGTGCACGTACACGTGCGTGCGTGGGCACGTACACGTGTGTGCGTGCGTGGGTGCGTGTGCACGTGCGTCCGTGCGTGCGTGTGCACGTACACGTGTGTGCGTGCGTGTGTGTGCACTTTCATCACCTCTTTTGATCGCCACACACCATTTCAATCTCAGTTCTGGGTCACTTGGGCCCCCACTGTTTCGTGAACAGGCATGGTGCTGTCTTATCATAGACACGCTGGCCATCTAATTTCTCCTCCTGCGATTTACGTTTGGGAGGTGGAGGGCGAGCGCCGTCCAAATACTTCCACATAACTACCTTGATGTTAGTATAAATTATTATACAATTGGATAAGGATGTACCTACTATTAGCTTCACTACTATTTGTATGGACTGCTTCAAGTAGCACACGCATGCGATGTGGTTGCGATGTAAATACGAGAGCCTATAACTGATTAGTTGCGTCATTTCTACAATCAGACCGTTTGTTCTATGTCAACAGCTACTGTCAAGCGATCGATTGGTAGACTGGGTTCGTGGCCCCATTGTTTAACAATGTTTATACTGCCGTAGGGTCTAGCATGCTTAGGGCGTGCAGAGCGTGCTAGCGTCTACTTGTACTAGAGTGTCTAACAAGGAAAACTTGTTAATGGGAATGAGTTATATATAGCTCTTTTGATCTTGGTTGAGAGACGCTGCCGCTGGTAAAATCGATGGGAAATTGGGACGGTGAGGGACGGGGAAAATATAACTAGTCCCGCCGGACTAACTGCTATGGGAATCTACTAGTCCTTCTGATTTTTTACTAGTCTCGGACTAACGGACTAGCGTTAGTGTCGAACCCTGTATACCCCATCTTGTATCCCTTATCGTTTATACCCAATCATGTATCCCTTATCACGTACACATGCGTGCGTGCATAGGCACGTACATGTGCGTCACACGCACGCACACACGTGTACGTGCCTATGCACGCACGCACGTGTACGTGCCCAAGCTGGCATGACGTAATCGGTGTAGGGCCTGCCGTTTTTTCCAATAGCATGTGCATCGGGGTTTGTCTATATTCAGGCCGGTACAGGAGATAATTTGCATATTTTATCACGTGGTTTGTGTTTTAACCAATCAGATGTAATCGCGGTGGAGAAGGAGGGGAGAAGCTGGTGGAGAAGGAGGAGGGGGAGAAGGTGGTGGAGGAGGGGGAGAAGCTGGTGGAGAAGGAGGAGGGGAGAAGCTGGTGGAAGAGGTGGTGCGCCATTTACTAATCGCTGGATAGATGGCGCGCGTGCACTGTCCGGTATCACTGCTAAACAATGGCGTCTAGTTACGAAGGGAAAACCATAAATGAATTGAAATCAGAGTTGCAAAGTAGAGGTGCAAAGACATTTGGGAGGAAAGCTGATCTGCACGTACACGTACGCTTGCGTGCGTGTGCACGTACACGTGGGTGCGTGCGTGTGCACGTACACGTGCGTGTGTGTGCACGTACACGTGCGTGCGTGCATAGGCACGTACACGTGTGTGCGTGCGTGCGTGCGTGCGTCCGTGCGTGTGTGCGCGCGTGTGCACGTACACGTATGTGCATGCGTGTGCACGTACACGTGCGTGTGTGTGCACGTACACGTGCGTGCGTGCATACGGTGAGGTAAGTGCTGCCGACATCTAACCCCTTGGCCTTGTGAACCTCTGGCAGGCCTTGTGGCTATCGTCATAATATACAAGGCGCCGGGAACAGTTTGTAGCTATAAATGAGGCCAAATTCCTTACTGTGATAAGTGACGGATCCACAGATTCCTCATCACAGGAAGCCGAAATTTTATTGTCGAATTAAAATTTTATTTTATTTTATTTAAATTTTATGATCCATATCAAAGTTACATGTATTTTATACAATTGAATGTCTTTTACAAAACCTTTCTGGGGGACACCCCTTGTACCCTGGGAGAGACCCCCTGTACCCCCTAGCAGAAGGGGGGCTCCACCCTCCTACCCCACCTACCTCCTGGCAAATCACAATGCTCGTCGCTCTGCGCCTAGTAAGAGTTCTTCGGCAGGACTAGTAGAATCTTGGAAAGACTAGTAGATTTTTTCTTTTACAAGTCCTGTGGACTAATGAACTAAAATGGTTAGTGTCTAACCCTGCTATCCTTTTGTGTGGAGGAACCCCTGAGTGAATCACTCAGGGCGNGTTACATGTAACACACTGACAGTACAGAATGCCATAGAAATTATACGATTTAAGGAGCATAAACCTTCCTCAACCAAATTTAGCTTTTGAAATTTCACTGTGACATTGCAGCCTCATACGTCCAGGCATGTATAGATTCTACTAGCAAACCCGGCAGTCAAATTCTTTCCAACAGTAAACAAATCCACCCTTCTCTTGAGGGTCAAAATGTTATCCGACACTTACTCTTCGCATGTCAGCGGAAAGTACATTTCATGGTCCTTTCAATAAAGCTATAAAAGTAGCAGGTCACCACTGAAACAAAAAAGTTTTTGAATCGCTCCGTCAGACCATGTCCTCAAAAAATGTCTAAAACCTGCCCTGTGCCCCATTGACCTTTGATCTGTGACTTCCAATTTCGGCACAGTGATGGCTTTTCCTATCATGATGCTATACACCGACTATCACGAGCCTAGGTTGAGCCGTTTAGATTTGTGCCGCAATTCTGCATTTCCTCCCTATACCTTAAGTTAAGGAGGAAATGTTCCCCCTTCTTTTACACCTCTTGGCCTTTGGCCTTTGACCCCCAGCTTCGACATCCCAACTAGTTTTCGGATTACCACCCCACGTCCCGAATAGCATGACCGTACGTCGAGCGGTTAAGATTTGTGCCTAACTGTTGACGGACGCACGGACGGACGCACGCACGAACGCACGATCATGTGATTCTACAATCTGCACCTGACCACGTCAGACGAGCTAAAAATGTATGCTATGTTTGACTATAATTCCCTTTTTCATATATTCATATTTTCATTTTCATGATCTGAGAGAAATCTTTCCAAATGTACACCACCAACGGGCACAACAGTGCTATCAACCTGCATGTTGCATTATTACACGGTGATACATACAATTTCCAGAAGAAATGCGAATACTGAAACGAATATTTTGAGGGAAAGAACCGGAAACAAGAAACGGGAGAGCATAAAGTCAGGGTAAGGTGGGGCAATGCAGGGTTCGCAGTGACATATCCGAGGTACTTTCTGATATATCGAACCGTAACCAGGGTACCCTCCGATAGTACCCTGGGGGACATAGACCCTATCAGCCCAAGTAAGTTTTTGCAAAAGCAAGTTGATATATACAGTGGCACAACAGTAGAAGTGTAATAAAGCGGTAGTTTTGTGAACGTGCGTTCATATTACTTGCCTTATTTTAAGTTTTTACTGAGTCTCTACACGCGCCCCGTTTGGGAAAACTCCCCCCTGTTTCAAT